ATAGTAATGGCCTTTGAATTGTACTTACTGTACAATTTTAGTTCTTGAACTTTTAATTTATATAGTAATAGATTCTGAATTATATAATTGCTGCAATAATAATTATTTTGTCACAAACTATTAAATATTTAACATAAATAAGTCATTATAAAGCATACAATTTGCCAAATATGGTCAATAATGAGACTCCAAATTTTTAACTTACACAATAAACTACCAAAATTTATGTAATTATTACAACAATGACTTCTTCTCTCCCCCCCTCCCCTCCCCTCGCCCCCCCCAAACTATTAAATTTTAACAAAAATAAGTAATGTACAAAGTATACAATTTAGTAACTATAGCTGAAAACAATATTCTAACTCATAGAGGATAATAAAGCCCAATTATATACTTTGCCTATGACTATTTTATGTTAAAAAAACTAATAGTTTGTGACAAATAGACTATTACTGTAATAATTGCATAATTCAAGAACTATTATTAAATAAATTGAGAGACTAGGGACCAAAGCGATAAGGTAACTATTATTAACCCACAAGATTATTAAAGACTAGTTATCTAAGCATGAATTATAGAAGTTATTAATCCGACCATAACGAGAAGTCTTTAGGAAATATTCGTCAATTGGTCACCAGGCACAAAACACGCTCAAGTTTACCCGTGGATTCCTATCAGCTTTATTTGTACAAGTAATAGGTAAGACATATTCCACTATTCCAGAGGCACGTGACCTTTAATCCTAGCTCCTAGGGGACCAGAAGACCATTGTAAATACTACATCTTCACTATATAGGAGGCGAGTCATCACATATATTCCAAAACTTTACCTGCCATCTCCTCTTTCTTTCCTACATTCTTCATTATTTTTTCTTGAGAAGGCATTCTTGAAGCTACCATCAGTAATGTCATTCATTAGAAAATATTTAGTAAGTACCACAATGGTGCCTCACAAGATATTGGTGAAAAGTCTATCTATAGTTTTATTCAAAACTATAAAGATGAGCATGTACATCAAATGTGGGTTTTAGGTTCTTTTAATAAGAACTAATCGAAAACGTGTGAGTCACATTGTTTCAAGGACAAAAGTTCACACCAACACACTTAAAATGGTAAATAACATAATCAATATTAAGTTTTTTCATATAGCACAAAAAAGTTATGTATTTAGGACATTATACTCCTTTAAATTTTAGTTTTTTTTTTAATTTTCATTTAATCAACACAATTAATCTAAATTAGTGAATAAAAAATGTTATTTATAAATACTAAAGAAAATATACCAGTTTCAATCATATGTTTTAGGAATGCAAGAATGTTTCCCTTTAGTTTGCCATATCAGATCAAAATTATTCATTTGGTTAGATTTTGTTAAAATTATATTGCAAAATGACACTGATACCTTTAGTCAAAATTAATTAAATAATCAAACTACCTTTTAATCGTGTAGTTAAATTTTGTATTTGGCACTTAAAGAGGTTTAGATGTAGGGTTAAGGAAAATCTGACTATTTGATCATGGATAATACTTGGAGTACCAATTATTGTGTTAAATTTTTAATACCAACACATGTGGCATATAATTTGTCATCATTTTTAATATATTTGTGATAAGTTTTAATACACTAATTAAATACTGACATGTTACGTGCATCGGTACAATAGTTGGAACACAGAACATTATCCATTTGATATGGGCACTTTGGCCATTTTCAAATTACTTGACAAAATTAAAGTCAATGTTTTTATGCTGTAAGTGGATAATTTATTAATTTTAACTCAAAAAATTTTTTAAAAGGAAAATTTTAACACAATTTGACGTACTACAAGTACGCTTAACATTCCTAGAAACACAAAATTGAAATCGGTATTAAAACACAACGAAGATTTTTGGTATTTTTCTTTCAAAAAATGCACGTAATTTCGTATAAAAATAAAGGCATGTTATTTAAGCGTGAAATTTCCAAATTCAGCCTTGATGTTTTCCCTTTTTGTTTCGAATAAAATTTCCCCGTCTTTTCAAAAAAGAAAAAAAAAAAAAAACATTACATTAGTGTCACACGATATTCATATATTATTTATGGTTTACATTATGGTTAACCCAAAAAAAAGAAAAAAAAAAAAAAGAAAGATAAAATTGAGTCCTTATTAGTGATCACAAAGAAAGCGTTAAGTCTAATAACTCAGCTGTAGCACCACCACCACTTCCTCCATTATCAATTATACGATCTTCTCCTTCTTTCTCGTGCTTTTCTCCTCCTCCTCCATCTTCTCCTTTCCTAATCATAGAAGGCCCAGGCCCAGGCCCGGGCGCAGGCCCAGCAGCCACAGGAGATTGTTGACCATCTTTGACTAAATTGCGACCGTCAAGATTATGATCATGATCATGATCATGATCAGGAGGAAGAAGAGGAAGAGGTGAACGACTCACCTTGTTGTTGTTGTTGTTGTTGTTATTATGATGATGATGATGATGATCAGGAAGAAAGTCCTCAGGTCGGAATGTGGGACTCCAGACGCCGCCGGCCAGCGGCTTCCAGGCATTATTCCGATCATTGGAATTGCTACGAAGACGATCGCGAACCTCTCTTGTGCTCCTGATCAGAGCAAAGAACTCCTTCACCTTTTCCTCATCCTCTTCATCTTCTCCTACATGTTTAGCTTCATCATCCTGATTACCAATCTTCATCTTCTTTCTCCGCTGATCAGCATCATGATCATCATGATCACGATCACGATCTCGATCACGATCACGATCTTCCATTGTATCCTGATCTAGCTAATAAGCTACCTCTAATTAATGATATATAGATATATAGATAGAGATATGTGAGTTTTACTTTACTTGGCTTTCTCCAATTTTTTTTTCCCCTTTGGTAATGAAAAATAAGCAGAGAGACTAGGTATGAAGAAAGAAACTTGTCACTTAACCCCAGTCAAAATAGTCATCTCATCATGAAGAGAGAGAGAGAGTTAGAAAGTTAGAGTGAAAACTGTATGTATATATGTACGTAGTGTGTAAATTTCCACTCACAATAACGCCCCCCACTTGCCAAACAAATATGTTTTCCAATAATTAATCTAGCATATATTCACTTTTGTGCCAAATTTCTAAATTTTCGAAAAATTATATATTCCGAAGCGGAATTAGTAGTTTATTATTGGTATTATTATTGTGTTGAGAATTTTTTGTTCTGATTATATCGGAAACTAAACCTAGGAGTTAGATTTTTTCTCTTTTTTTTTTTTAAAGAAGTTTTTTCAACACGTTTGTGAAAATTTGTTGGATTTTGAGCCAATTAATTCTGAAATCTTTAATAATTTGCTTTCAAAAAAAATTAATTTTTAGACCTTAAAGAAACAAGCCGTTGTTGAAGATTGTACGAATCTCTTTTTCCGTAATTCTCTAAACTATTAATAAATATTATGACATTAGTATAATAATAGCGTTCATACTACTCAATAATGTGGTCTTGACCCTAATGTCGGTCAAGATCATCAAAGATCTAAATTTAACTCCCTATTTTTTTTTAAAAAAAAATTGGGGTCATCTCTCAATATATATATTTTTTTAAAAAGGTGTAATTACTTAATAATTATTTTCTCTGAGTGAAAGTGTGTAGGTTTAAGTGGGTGAGAAGAATAATCGTTTGGCGTCACTGCCCATTACGTAATGCATCTACCTACTATACGTGATAGTCACAAATAATAATATGGCATCTTGTACTACTGGCGGCTTTATTCATTGAACGCTCTTAGGTCATCTAGGCTGCCCAAGTTTTTCTTCCTTGATTGGAATTTGGTCCCATATGTAACTCTTTTTTTTTTTTTTTAATACAGAGAAAATAAGCTTTATCATTATAATAATTGTACTTGACTTTTGAGTTTCCATTCAAATATTCGTTGACGAGTAATTTATTACAAACTCTAGGTACTTTCTTTTTTTTTTTTGGTCGAAACGTAGATGCAAACTCTAGGTACTTGAACATTATCTTATTAGCTTTAAAAATATGGCAGTTGGTAGTTTGGCTCTGTGGATTTGTATCCGATCCAAGTGTATTACTTTCGGGTAATGCTTATATTATTTGTGACTAAAGTTTTCGAACCTAAACAATTGTTATTGATCTAAAGTCAAGAGGGTGGTCAACAATATAAATTATAGGTTTTGTCATTAGGCTTTTGTTTTATCCTAGTGTGAAAATATCTGAATACTAACTAGGCCACATGTTAGGTATGTGTATGTGACTTTGCTAGTTCTATGAGGATACGTAGTGCAAGACTGATTAGTTGATCCTAATGTGTGGAAGCCATTGAGTTAAAATTCAGCTAAAAAATCTAAGAAATATTCGAACCACCATATAGAACCCAAGTTGAAATGATTTGATTATGCGGGACCCAACTTTCAATTTCAAATGAATTAGTCCTTGATTGAAGAGCTGCCCTTAGTAGCAGAATTACACCTTAGTAGCAGAATTACAGTGGTTCAAAACCAAACTACTATTAGAAAAATTATACAAGTCCATCTATGTAGCCAAGTTTGTGACATTATGATCAAGGATAACCGATTGCTTGTTATGCATTCACTGTTTTGGTCATATTGGATTTAACATTCCAAAACATCTCACCCCACACAAAATGAAACTATTAAGAGAAAGAAACCCATCAAACTACACCCAAAAATTAAAAAAATCCCAAGGTAGAAGGAGGATCTTATTTTTGATGGGGAAGTTGCTTGACCTGACCACATTATGATCAAGGATAACCGATTACTTGTTATGCATTCACTGTTTTGGTCATATTGGATTCAACATTCCAAAACATCTCACCCCACACAAAATGAAACTACTAAGAGAAAGAAACCCATCAAACTACACCCAAAAATTAAAAAAATCCCAAGGTAGAAGGAAGATCTTATTTTTGATGGGGAAGTTGCTTGACCTGACCACATGTCGTTTCATGCATTTAGTAGCTCTTTGGAAAAACAAACGACAGTAAGCATTGCTAGTCTTCTGCCCATCGAACTCCATGTTTTGCCCACAAATAGTATGCCCCAATTGGACCTCTTCCTCCCATCTCATACAGCTCGGGCACTATATTGTTCTTGTCTACCTCCTGGAGAACTGAAGTCAGAATATTCCACGCAGCTGAGACCTCATCACTTCTCATAAAGAGATGGCTGTCTCCATCAATGGCATCGAGAAGGAGATGCTCATACGAATCAGGTACCTCTACATTATACCTGCATAGTTCACAAGGAGACGTTAAGCACATGGATGATGCAAAATAAAGCGCCGGCATTGTTGTGCAGATATCATTTCTAATGGAGGATGGCAGTAAACTTTTTGCGCTCAAGTGCTTACTTGTCCTTGTAAAGCAAATTTAGTTCTGGGGAATCCAAGTGCAACCCCAGTCCTGGAATCTTATTATTGACCCTGATGAGGATGGCTTCGTCTGGAACATCACGTAAAATCAGCTCATTGGTAGCAAGGTCGATGTTATGCCCCATTCGCTCACGATAAAGGTTTCCTGGGACATGATGGAACTGTATACGTATCTCCACCCTGCATTGTATAGCTAGGTTACAAGGAGATTCTATTTCGTCTAAATTGTTTATGATCAAGACACTTTTTATCCATTGATTATAACATCAGTGTTTTCATATAAATGCATGCTCCACAACCAACAATACACCTATTCTAAGAAATTGAAAGTGTCACTAAAAACCTTTGTTTTGGTAACTACAACGGTCACACTTCACAGACTGGCGATCTATGAGATGAAGGAAACAAGCAAATTAATCGTCAACTCATCTTCTTCCAAAGTTCCCCAGAAAAATCATTCTAGATTTATTGATTCTAGAAACATTCTAAAATAAAAATAGTAACAAGTCAAAGATTAATTCGCTGCAATTATTATAGCAGTTCTCACTACTTGAACAATGCAAGTGCATTCATTCTAAATAGACATTTGTAGAAAATATGAACTCAGTGCAGTTGGAAAATCACAAAAGTTGGAAAGGTTTGTCAACAGAAAAGCACCGCAAAATAGATCTAACCTGTGTTGAATGAGCCCTATTCCAGTTTTGACTAAGAAAGGCACACCATCCCAGCGTGCATTGTCAATATGTAATGCAGCAGCAAAATATGTGGGCGTGAGAGTATCTGTATACATATCAACCTTATCCTTCGTGCTGGCTTTGTACTGGCCAAGAATAACATCACTAGGTTCCAGTTTACGAATTGACCTCAAAACCTTGACCTGCAAAAAAGCTTTTTAGCAAAGGAAATACAATTTTTAAAATTGTGTACAACAAGTACGTATACCTTTTCATTTCGAATATCTTCACCATCAAGACCTATAGGTGGTTCCATGGCGAGCAATGCTATTGTTTGGAGTATATGACTATGTACTATGTCACGAATGATCCCATAACCCTCAAAATACCTTTGTTAAAGAACAAGAGCATAAGTTAGCTTATTGATCCTCTGCTAATGCATTTTACCGAATCTTACTCCAAACAACAACAAAGCAGCACCTAATTACCTTGCTGCGTGTACACCCAGATCTTCCGATAAGACAATCTGCAATATGGTTCGGTGAGCCAACATAAACTGTAAGGATCCTGTACAAGGCACGTGTAGATTGCACCGCATTGAGAAAAATTAAAATGGAATACCTGTACATTCCGTATGTACTTGTGGCTCCATAGTGGCTCAAAAACTAGATTGGAAAATCTTAGAACTGTGAGATTTTCGATCAGGTTCCTTCCAAGGAGATGATCAATCCTGAAATAAGGTTGATAAACAATGTGTGCATATTGATAAGTTAATGTTCTTTCCTTTAAATATGTATAATAATGGATAATTGAAATGTGCTTTTTGTGTATGCATGTGTTGTGTGAGTATAAAATTGTGAGTACAAAAACCTGTATATTTGATTCTCCTTAAACTTGGAAAGGAGAGACTGTGTCAACCGATGAGATGATAATGCATCGAAGCCAAATGGTTTCTCAATTATTATACGGTTCCAACCCTTCAAGGTTTGGGCAGTATCAGCAAGAGAGGACGCAACATCTATAAGTGCTTCTTGTGGTACAGAAAGGTAAAAAATCCTGTTTGCTTCAGATCCACCCTGAGGTAAGTAAGCTGTTACAGGATCAATTACCAACAGCTTCCAGCTTCTATGTTGGAAAGTCAAATAAGATCCCATAACAAAATAGAGTTTCTTAATTTAGATTTGTTTCATTTTACCTCAACCTGCTCCATCAGGGAATTGAGCCTTGACATCCCCTCTCTGTTGTCATAACCGCCATTAATGTAATATGTTCTACTCAAGAAAGCATCCATTTTGTCCCCACAGTTCTCTCTGAAATTTTGATGACAATTCAGCATTCAGATGTCTTTATTAAATGAAAAACTTATGGGTACATGCATTATTTAATGTTCATATAACATGCAAAAGAAATTTCTCAAAATTGAGAAAAAGTTTTGTGTAATGCTTATATTTTAGCTCTTGGACCTTTCAGTTAATAACTCCACTCAAATAATGCAAAGCTCTTTTAACGACAATAATTTTTTTTCCCTAGTCCCACAATTCTTAAGGTTGTGACTTGTAATAAAAGTTCTCTATGTTCTCTCTCACTTTTTATACTTCTTTTTCCCTTTTCTCTTTGAAAATGTGAGACATATAAGCTCAAATGGCTTTATTTTTATTGAGAAAGTGTTTATCATTTTTTTTTTTTTTTGAACGGGGTGGAAGCATAGTAATCTGCTTCCCACAAAGAACATCAAACAGGCAGCGGTATGCATTCCATGTGGAAATTCTACTACATAATTTTAAGATTTTAAGGATTTACTATATTATAATTTTAAAGCAGAAGATGAAAATGGGAAATCAGAGATAATAGAGGAATCATACTGATGGTCAACTCGGCAAGTCAGAGTTGAAGCTATTGTATATCTTAGATCTCCATCTGTCAAATTCTTTCTTGAATAACCAAATATACCAATATTCTGCACCCAAGGACAAAACTTTTAGAAGGATTGAATCAAATATAGTAGATAACAAATCTATTGGCAAAACATTTCCAAACAAGATTATCGATTAACTTTTTAATTTGATTCAGTAGTGCATTTATACCAGAACTGAGGTCATTGCTTCCTTTTCATAAATAAGCATTACAATTAGAAACTAGTAAAAGAGAAAAATAGTTGCTTGAGAGGAAGGACAAAACTTTGCCCAAATAAATTCTGGTCACAAGGTATTCATCTTAAGATAGACAAGCAATTCCCTGAAAACCAACTGGCAATGATGTAAATGTAGTCTTACCTCAGGAAGAAACCCACTGTAATACAGAGCAAACAGTGCTGGAAAGATCTTCCTCCTTGCCAACTCACCTGTAGCTCCTATGACAGCTATGCAGAGTGAGGGTCCTCCGGTGCCATCCCTTGGAAACTTGGAGGAATGTGTCTGTGGCAAAGAGATAGGAGATTGCACAGAATCGGACACTTCACAGAAACACCAGGTCAGATGTCAGGCAAAAAACTCTCTTCAAGTCATGAAGTTATTAACATTAGAATCTACCATACCACAATTTGGAAGTCGGAACACGCATTCACCATGAAATTTAAAAAAAGACAAATTGTTTGCCACCGTCTTTCGGGAGGAAAGGATATAAATAAGATAATAAATCAACTGAGACAGAAACTGACATTAACTTTTAACAAATAGACAGTGAGTTAGAGCTAACCATGCCCCAACTTAATTCGTGTTCCATCAGAAGCTTGCTCTTCAAGTGATGAAGTAGTTTCAATATGACTAGATGAGTGATCTTCATCTAGATTTTTCATACTCTTAAACTCATTTTTTTGTTTTGGTTTTCTCTTGTGCTGCTGTAGATTAAGACTCTCAAGTATCCACAGTTTTAAGCCACAAAATCTTTGACAGAAACTGGCAGCTCCTGATCTGGGATGAGAGTTGTATGCAGGAGCCTAAATACCACAAAGACAAAAGTAACCAATATAAAAGCTTTAGAACTATAAATGGCACTCAATAACGATCGCAATGCTATGCTACTTTCATTTTTAAGCTCAATTTCAATATCTGAAAAAACAAAAAAAAAGCCCACTTAAACAGAAGGTTTAAGCCATTAAACCTACTTAAAACTGCAAATTATTTTCCATAATTCATATTGAATTATCAAAATTAAAACCACAGTCTGGTTCAGACGATGAACTAGCTCAGGGAAGCTACAAAAGATTTTGATCACTAGTTCCCTCTTTTTCTTACTAAAATTTCTGGGTTTTTCTTACAGAAGATTTTACCGGAGTACATTTTCTCCACACATAAAAATAAAATAATATAAGAAAACCCATTTGAAGAAATTTAAGAGAGACACCAATAACAGTTATATATATATATATAGAGGACTTCTATATATATATATATTGATTACACAGATACAAATAAAATAGTGATTGAAAAAAAAAAAAAAAAAAGCTAACCGGGAAGCTCCGAACAGAGAACTGATGGCAGTAAGAGAGAGAAGACAGTGGTCTTGAAGCTGAGTACTCTGAAAAGGGTACCAAGAAAGCTGAAGATGCCATTGACATCTTTGGGCCTTTAGCAGATAAGGATCCCCGGGTTTAAGTGGTAGTCGGTATTTTCGGTAAGGTTTGTTCATGAAAATTATAAAAATAAATAAATAAAAAGTAAGAAGAAGGTTTCTGTAAATGTGCCAGACGTTTAAGAAGACGACTATAACCAGCATTCGTGGGTTTGGGTGCAGCTGATAAAATTAAAAGCGACTTTGTTGATGTTTGCCAATTACCAGATGAATCAGAACCGTTTACTCAGCTGACTACATTACAATAATTCCACATGGCAACATCTGGTGATTTCTTTTGAGCCGCTCGAAGCAAAATATTTGCAATTTTGGTTTGTTGTGTGAACAAGCACTTGCAGATTTCGATATGTCAGTTTGTCACAAGTATTTGACCAAAAATCAGTGATAGTTTGCATTAGAATAATGTTATAGGGTACCAGTGGTGTCCAGCATCACAATAATGTGTCAGTCTGTCACTGGCTAATTATAATTATAATTCAGGTGGGACCTAGGTGGGATCCAGTTTATTAATTAAATCATCCAGTGACAAACAGACATGCTATTGTGGTGCTGGATACCACTGGTGCCTTATAGCATTGCTCTTTGCATTATAGCCATCATATCGAAATAAGATGTATTTTTAGAACATAGTTAATTGCAGAAAAAATAATAAATAAAAAATAGCCCAAAGTATAGCTTTTTGGCAGTTTTAATCGTATATTTTAGCTTGTACAAATGCACTTCTATAAGGTTCACTATATAAAATAAAGCTCTGAAAAAATAAAAAAGTGCCCTTGTTGTTCTCTTTAGGCTCTCCTAGGGTTTCGAGTAAAGGATTCTTTGCCACTTTAGTTTGGCCTTTGTCGTTTTCTAAGAAACGTTCAGTTTTTTATTCTTTATCAATTTAGTTTACTGATTTTATTCTTTTCACTTCCCCAATTTCGTTTTCTCTCTTTTTTAATCATTCCCCACTAGAGTGATATTGCCCGATTCTTTTTTGTCACTTATTCATCTGGTTTCCGATTCTTTGTTATTATGGATCCTGAGGAGGTTGCGAAACTTTGTGAGCGGCTTAATCTCGATGACTATAAAGGTCCAAAGATGCGTATGTCCCCGACGATGTATCAAGATGGTAAGGAGAAGATGGATCTATATCTAGTTGGACGGGTTTTCGGAAATAAAATTGTTAATAGAGAAGGTTTGAGTGAGGTTGCAGAATACATTTGGCGTACTTCTCGTAAAGCCAGAGTGGAGGCAATGGAGGTTTCAAATTTTTTTATGTTTCACTTTGGCAGTAAATCAGATCGTCAGCGTGTTCTATTTGGTGGTCCTTGGAATTTCGAGAAATCAATTAATCTCCCTCCTTAAACCTCAAGGGGTTGGACTAGTATCGTCAATGAATTTCACAAAAGTCCCTTTCTGGGTTCAGTTTCATAATGTACCTATTGTTTGCAGGAGTGATCGTTGTACGAGGTTATGGGGTGAATTAATCAGTCATGTCATAGATGTGGATTCAGATGGACCTAACTTACGTGCCAGGATTGTTATTGATGTTACCAAACTGTTGTGTAGAGGTCTCCGTGTTTTCCCAGATGAGGATTCAGATTCCATTTCAATCCCAATGCAATTTGAATATCTTCAAGAATTTTATTTTAGATGTGGTATTATAGGACATAAGCTACGGGAGTGTTCGGAAGAGGAGCCTGTTGATCAGTTTGGTAAGCCTGTACCGAATCGTTTTGGTGACTGGTTAAAAGCTTTCAACCTTAAACAATGGAGGAAGGAATGTAGGGAACATAAAGAGGAGCCTGTTGATCGGTTTGGTAAGCTTGTACCGAATCGTTTTGGTGACTGGTTAAAAGCTTTCGACCTTAAACAATGGAGGAAGGAATGTAGGGAACGTAAAGGTGGTGGTCATTGGTCTGATTCTAATACTTCTTCTGGAAAATCAAGTAATAGTAGTGGTGGGGCAAATCGTAATAACATTGATGTTTTTGATTGGGGGTTGAATTCCGATGAGGAAAATACTCGAGTGGCTGTTATGACGGCTAGAGAAAGGAAGATTTTTGGCTTGAGTAATATTGATGGTACTTCTAAGGTGACAGAAAAAAGTGTCTCGACGAGAATTGATAGTGGTGGTGAGATGCGAGCGGAGAAGAATTTACTTAAGGGGAAAAACAAAGTAAGGGCGTCTTCGGGAGTAGCTTCTGGCGAGGCTCTGTACGTTAGTCCAGATCAGGTTGTTGATATTCAGGTGACAACAACCACTAATACCTATCCTATTTACAATGTGGAAGAACCCGATATTCCTTTGCAAGCTCTTATTAGTGGTCCTGAGTCTAAGCAAGATGCTGTTTCTACAAGGAAAGCCCGTACTTGGAAGAGAGTATCCCGAGGTAGTCCCAATAAAACCAAGACCAAAAAGAAGCAAAGTGGTGGTTTGGCAGCACCTATTACAACAAGCCCCTTTGTGAAAAACTTGAAGCATATTTCCCCTAAACATAATAGAAGTCATACTTCTCCTCGTGGTGCCAAACCTGATGGCTCTCAACCAGAGCTTGCTAAACCCAGTGTCAAGCGTCGTCTCCCAAGTAGTTTTCTTGAGCTATCGTCGGATGAGGTTGTGAAGAGGGGGAAAGTTGTTGCCAATGAGATACAAAATATGGATGTGGTAGAATCGGCGAGTCCTGTTTCTCAAGACTGCCGGTCATCATGAGTGTGATATGTTGGAATGTACAGGGCTTGGGGAATCCCTGTACATTAAAGACCTTGCGGGACCTGTCTCATAAATTTGCCCCAAATCTAGTTTTTCTTTCTGAAACTAGATTAGCTGGTGGTTTAGCTGAAAAAGTAAAGAACTCAACAGGGTTCTCAAACTGTTTTGTGGTGAACTCTGAAGGGCGTAGTGGAGGTTTACTACTGCTGTGGAATGATGATTGGCGAGTTACTCTTCATTCTTACTCTAAAGGTCACATTGAGTCTTCTGTTCAGTCGGCGGAAGGTAAAAGGTGGAGATTTACTAGTTTTTACGGTAATTCGAAACCTTTTCTTCGTCATTTTTCGTGGCAATTACTTCGGCATTTAAAGTATTTGAATTAATTACCATGGCTTTGTGGTGGTGATTTTAATGAGATTCTTTGCTTGTCGGAGAGAGGGAGGTATAGATAGAACAGCCTCTGCTATGATTAATTTTCGCAGTGCTTTGTTGGATTGTGGGTTGAACGATATGGGTTTTCAAGGTTGTCAGTTTACTTGGATGAATAAAAGGCCTAACAATGAGTTTATTCAGGAAAGATTAGATTGTTTTGTCTGTTCTGATGATTGGCGTGATATGTTTATGGAGTCCTCGATTGTACAAGGAGATTTTGTGTCATGGGATCATTGTGCTGTTATCATAACATTAAACAGATAGCCTACTTATCAGGAGCTTTTTCGAAATAATAAATTCAGATTTGAACCTTACTGGCTCAAAGAAGATGGGTGTAGGGAACAAGTGGCACAGGCTTGGATAAGTGGTGAGTTGTCGAATAATCCTATTTCTGATTTTCAATCAAGAATTGTCCGTTGTGGTGAATCTTTTAAAGCTTGGAGCTCTCAAAATTTTGGTTCCTTATCGAAATCAATCCAGAAGCTACAAAAGAAGATCTCTGGGCTGTACAAGAGAGGTGATGTGGCTCAAAAGATTGGTGCAATTCGTTTACTTAAGAATAAGCTGGAAGATTTATTGAATAAGGAAGAGATGTATTGGAGACAGAGATCTCGGGCAGAGTGGTTGAAATCGGGTGATCGAAATATCAAGTATTTTCACTCGAAAGCTTCTAGTAGGAGGAAAAAGAATAGTATCAAATGCCTCAAAGATAGTTTTGGAAATTGGAAAGAGGATAAAGATGAGTTGGTGAAGATCATTGAAGACTACTTTGGTTCCATTTTTCTTTCTACTCAACCTACTATGGCGAATGTACAGAGAGTAACTGATACTGTTCATAGTTCTATATCTCCTAATATGGCGGAATTTTTGGATTCGCTTTTTACTCCAGATGATATTAAAGAAGCTCTGTTTCAAATGGGTGGAACAAAAGCACCAGGTCCTAATGGTTTTCATGCAATATTTTATCAGAAATATTGGAGTATAGTAGGAGGAAATGTTTGTCGAGTCTGCTTGAGTGTTCTCAACGATGGTTCATCAGTTCAACCCCGTAACTCTACTTATCTTATTCTTATCCCCAAGAAGAAAGACCTAGAATTTGTGTCAGATTATAGACCAATCAGTCTTTGTAATGTTATTTACAAAATTATTTCAAAAGCATTGGCAAATAGAATGAAGATGGTGTTATCTGCTCTGATCTCTGAGAATCAAAGTGCTTTTGTGCAGATAATGATATCATTGCTTTTGAGAATATGCACTCTCTGTGTCATCGGTCCAATGGAAACAAGGGTTTCATGGCACTTAAACCAGATATGAGTAAAGCTTATGATAGGGTGGAGTGGGGCTTCTTGCAAGCTAGTATGACTTGTATGGGTTTTAGTAGTTCATGGGTCAATAAGATTATGGACTGTATTTCTACTTCTTCATTTTCGGTGATTTTGAATGGTAAAGCTGAAGGACATATTGTACCATCTCGAGGTCTCCGCCAAGGATGTTCACTGTCCCCTTACCTTTTTCTCTTGTGTGCAGAAGCTTTCTCTTTATTGATTTCCCAAGTAGAGTCTCATGGTGATTTACTGGGTTTTCGTTGTGCCAAGAATAGTCCTCGCATAAGTCACTTATTCTTTGCTGAAGATAGCCTTGTATTTACTAGAGCTAAAGTTGAAGATGTTAGGAATTATTAGCCCAAGATTGACTACCCAAGAGGGGGGGTGAATTAGATTTTAATACTTGTGGGGAACTTTTCAACTATTTAAAACCATAGACCACTATTTTGAAACCTTCAAGCTAAATCAACATTAATAGCATACATAAAACAATAATAGCAAGTATATTAAGCACACTAAATGCCAAACACTCAA